GACAACGGCTCCCAGCAATAGGGTTCGGACCCACAAATTCTTCTGATTGCCCTCGCATTCGCTCAGGGGGTATATGCATTAGTTCAATGTGTGTCACGCTCGATTGGACCTAACTGAGACCCAAACAATGATTAGGTACTCAAACGGCCGTTTTGCAACTTTAGGGACCGGGATGACATAGCAGCGCTCAGGGACCACTGCTGCACTTTACTCTTGTTTTTTCTTTCTGTGTATTTTATCTATTGCTTTGCTTTGCTCTCCTTCTTATCGGTCATCACACACTGTGGATTTGAGCTTATATTTTATGGAGCTACTTGACGTGCTCAATCCATGGTCCACCCTCCACGCCAGAGCATAGCATACTATAATCTCCCTTGCCATCCTTTCTTCCAACAAAAACATTTTATTTGAAAGACAGCAAGGGTTTCTTGACCAACTGACATCTTCTTCCTCCCACTCCAAGTCTCATCCTCCCTAAAGGCCTAAACCACACAGCCGGAGGAGAAGCGCAGCGCAGCATGGCGTCGTCGGAGCCCCAGCCGGCCAATAAGCAGCCGCACGTCCTGCTCATCCCCTACCCGGCGCAGGGCCACGTGAACCCGTTCCTGAAGCTAGCCAAGGCGCTGCACGCGCGCGGCTTCCACGTCACCTTCGTCCACACCGAGTACAACCACGGGCGCCTCCTCCGCGCGCGGGGCGCGGGGGCGTTCGACGCCGGCGCCGAGGGCTTCCGGTTCGAGACCATCCCGGACGGCCTCCCGCCCTCCGACCTGGACGCCACGCAGGACATCTGGGCGCTCTGCGAGGCCACGCGCCGGACGGGCCCGGCCGCCGTCAGGGGGCTTGTCGAGCGGCTGAACCGCACGGATGGGGTCCCGCCGGTCAGCTGCGTCGTCGCCGACGGTGCCATGGGCTACGTGGTGCACGTCGCCAAGGAGATGAGCCTGCCGGCGTACCTCTTCTTCACGCACAGCGGCTGCGGCTTCGTGGCGTACCTCAACTTCGATCAGCTCGTCAAGAGAGGCTACGTCCCTTTCAAAGGTAATCTGCAGATATTCAGATATATAGCGTACTCCTACTCTTAAGGAAATACGTACCTCATGATACGGTCGAGAAAAAAGATAGTGTGCATCGTAAAATTTGCAGCTCTGATCGACCTGACCATCAACTTTTAGTTTGATGCTAACTACAATAGTAGTTTGCATTCTTCATTTCTTCTGGATCATGAGCTAAGTTCTAATTCAGTTCATGATTTTTTTTGTGAACATAATTCAGTTCATGATTGATTGATCTAGCTTCTGGATCCATGACTAAATTATGTGTTTCATTATTTCATATATGTGAAATGCACTTGCTAATAATACTAATTATGTTCCTCTGTTAATTCATTCGAAATAATTATGTTCTTCCCGAGCGTCTGAACTTTACTTACAAGGATTAAACACTTGTTGACTTGAAAGATGAGACTTACCCCAGCTAGCAGCACCAAAAGCTAACGCATCATGTATGTGCAAAATGGACTTTGAATTTCGAATAGAATAAAATCCGGAGAGCATCAACTTCCAAAAGATCTTTTTAAAAAGAAAACTATGGACTAATGCACCATCATACGTAATAGTCCACTTTCACAGTCTAACTATATACAATATTTTAGAAAGATAGACAAACCTGTTCGTTTCGCTGAAAAAACAGGCTGAAAAGTATTGTTTGTTGATTTGTAAGAAAAACACTGTATCATAACTGATAAGTCAGGCTGACGATGTGCCTTTTTTTTTCTCCTCGTTTTTATTTGTATACGGACCCTTTCAATCCTTATAGATAAGCACAAGGAGAAACATTCTACCGCGTTTAACTAAATTAGCACACAAACACTTGACCGCCGTAGTGTATTATCTAATGCATTTCCTGGTTAGCTTTCAGACTTTTCAGTCATCGGTGATAGTAATCATGTATGCCATTGCCATTATCAAGTCCAACCCTTCGTCTCCAACATTCATGAAATAGGAGATAACCTACCACAATCTTCCACATAGGACAAGATAAAGGGAATTTAAAACATTGTCCGGCCGAGCAAGCTAAAAGGGGTCGTCACGGTGTCCCACTGGGACGGCCCACTGAGAGATGGTTGACCAGAGAAGATTAGATCACATCAGATTAGACTGATTGGAGATGCTACTTCAAGATGTGATGGCCGCTAGCTCTAAGTTTTTTATTTTTAAATTTATAGGCCCTATTTATTTTGGCGCCTAACAGTATATTTCTAAGTGCACAACGTCAGTTCTCATCACAGTATATTTTTAAATTTATAGGCCCTATCACTGGCCGAACCAAAGGCCCGGCCACCCTGGGCCGGTGGCCGGGCTTCTCTGCTGGCGCTGCAAACACATTAGCCCAAATAGCCGAAGAGACTTAGTAATAATAGCTACGTACCGCCCCTACTCAAAAAGAAAAGCTACGTACAAAGATGAGGAAAAAGCTAGCAGGCGCCGCCTACGCTTAGTATTATTTTACTTTAAAATTTAAAACTATTTTGGTTGTCTAATTTTTCTTGTATATTATATAATTATTATGTGTTCTACTTTACATAGCTTTGTTAGGACACTAACAATACTAAAAACGACAGATAATTCTATTAATTTATGTAGACACTACATATAGAAACTACTCTCTCCATTCCACAAAGAATGTCATTTTTAGTTCATGAGAAGTCAAGTTTTTTTTAACTTTGGCCAATTCTATATACAAGAATATTAATATTTATAATACATAATTAGTATCATTAGATAAATCACGGAATATATTTTCATAATAAATTTATATAGTGGTACAATTATTGCTAATATTTTCTATAAAGCTAGTCAAATAAACTTAAGAAAATTTGACTAGCACGCATCTCATAGCGTCTTTTTTTTGGGACAGAGAAAATATAAAATCAATTTCCCTGACGGTGCACCGTCAGGGCTAGCGTGACAGGGTAATTAAAAAATGTCTGACGGTGCACCGTTAGGGAAATTAATTACGAATTTCCCTAACGGTTGTTTAATTTCCCTGAGTGTTTTGCAGGAACCGTCGTAATAATATCAATTTTCCTATGTGTTTTTCACAAACCATCAAGATAATGCTATTTATCCTAACGGTTTATGCAATAACCATAAAAAAAATGCAAAACCGTCAAGACATTTTTTAATTACCCTGTTGCGCTAAGGTGGTGATTTCTACACCTTAAGAATTAAGGTAGAGAGGCTTAAGGTAATTCATATCTTTGTAGTACACATAAGCAGCAATATCGCATACACATTCATGCAGTCAGACGCATAACTCACAGTTTGAAGGTCTTTCTTTTTCTTTTTCTTTTTTTGCGACTACTCACAGTTGAAGTCGGCATTAGGTTCCATCTTTCTGCATTATTGTTAACTCGCACATATACGCGCAGATGAGACGTTCTTCACCAACGGGTACCTGGACACCCCGGTGGACTGGATCGCCGACATGCTGCCCGGCGCCCGCCTCCGCGACCTCCCGACGTTCATCCGCACCACGGACCCCGACGACACCATGCTGACCATCATCATCAAGCAGTGCGAGCTCGACTCCCCGGTCGCCGACGGCATCCTCCTCAACACCTTCGACGACCTGGAGCGCTGTTCCCTCGACGCCATCCGGGCCCGCCTCCCCAACACCTTCACCGTCGGCCCGCTCGGCCCGGAGGTCTCCCCGCCGTCGTACCTGCCCTCTCTGACCTCGAGCCTGTGGAGGGACGACGACCGGTGCGCGGCGTGGCTGGACGGGCACGGCGCGGAGGAGGACAGCAAGGGCTCCGTGGTGTACGTCAATTTCGGGAGCATCACGGTGGTGACGGGCGAGCAGATGGACGAGTTCGCGTGGGGGCTGGCCGCCGCGGGGTGCCCGTTCCTGTGGGTGGTCCGGCCGGACACGGTGCGCGACGCCGGCGGGTGGGCGCTCCCGAAGGGGTTCGCGGAGGCGGTGGCCGGGCGCGGGCTCACGGTGGGGTGGTGCGACCAGGAGGCCGTCCTGGAGCACCGCGCCACAGGCGGGTTCCTCAGCCACTGCGGGTGGAACTCCACGCTGGAGAGCCTCCGCGCCGGGGTTCCGCTGCTGTGCTGGCCCTTCTTCTCGGAGCAGGTGACCAACTGCCGGTACGCGTGCGAGGAGTGGGGGGTGGGCCTGGAGATGCCGCGCGAGGCGGGGCGTCGCGAGGTGGAGGCGGCCGTCAGGGAGCTGATGGGCGCCCAGGGGAGGGGCGGAACGGCCAGGAGGAGGGCCGCGGAGTGGAAGGAGAAGGCCAGGGCGGCCGTCGCGCCGGGCGGGTCGTCGCGCGTCAACCTCGACAGGTTCATCCAAGAGATCGCGCGCGCCAAGTGCTGAAATTATTCAGAGCGTGTGCTGTAATGCCGTACTTCCGTGTGGGACCGTAGATGGTTGATGTAAATCAATACAATAATACTCTTCTGCCCTATAAAAGAAAATCATTATGATTTGATTAAGTTTATACAAAATGTACCAACGTACTCCTAAAAATAAGTATTTTTATTAGATTTGGCATGAAATATGTTTTCTAGTCAGATCATTAATATTGATACTCTTCTCTATAAATTTATTGAGTTGAAAGCCATGATTGGATCCGTTGTTATCAGCTAAAATAATCTAGTTGTAATCTAAACAATGCTGGATTGTAGCCATTCTCACTTTAACCAACAATAATCGAAATCCAACACTCCAATTACTATAATTATAAAAATAATATACATAATTTAGATTGAAATAATCCAGTTGTAATTTAAACAGGGCCTAAAATTATTCAACTTAGGACAAAACTAGTAAGAGCAAAATTCACATTTGCAAATAATGACTCCAAAGATTTATCAACTATCATCTTCAGGAGCAGTAGCATCATAAGGATTGTTCCCAAACTTGGTTATCATATTGCTGGCAACTTAAGCCTCACCGGTAGAAGACCTGTCCGCCATTGGTGGGAGCTACTACACCTGCGAGATGAACCACAGCACAGCGTTATAAGATTTGCCGCCGGGAACCAACTAGCAATCTAGCATGCATGGTTGCATGCGTGTCTGCATGATCTATGTTCGTTTGCGTAAGTGTGTTTTAAAGAAGGGCTAGACTGCTAGTACATCATCTGTTGAGCAATCGAGGGATTGAGCAAGCCAAAAATCAATAAATTAGTCTTGCAACTCCGCAGATTGACAGAGCTCAGTCTCTTGGTTAGAGATGAAAGGTTCAGACCTTGTCGTCCGCGTTTGCAGCTCCAGCAACCGGCTCCTTGAAAAACTCAATGATGTTCCGGCACACTTCCTTGGGCTTCTCAATATTGACTGCATGCCCAGCATTCTTTATAACAACTAATCGAGAATTCCCCTCTAGATGCCTGTCGATTTGTCAAGTGATCAGCAATTTCATAACAATTTTCATGGGGACCGTGGTAAATTAAACTTCATCTCGAATAAGAGAGTTTCAGAGGTAGCATCAGCAAACCGGTTCAATCTGTGAGCCAGCTCCATTGGGAACACCCGATCTTGCTCCCCCCAGATTATAAGCGTTGGCTGCAATAGATCGAATTGAGATTTGAGAAAAGTAGTATCAATAAAAGAGACTGCAAATCATTGTTTTTTTTTGTGTCACGGTCATTGAGATAATAAGAAGTTCAAGAATATACTGTCACAAGCAGGTGTCAGTCAGTTCTCTCAAATGTAATAACGATATAAACACGCTGGACTTCAGCATTAGTCACTAGGATTTATGTACCTGGGTCAATTTTGGAAGAGTACAGAGTTGTCTCCCATTAATCAAAGCGTATAGCAGCTCAGTCTTCTCCTGGATATGATCAGAGCCCATCACCTGATGCAGTAAAACAAGGCCACACTTGTCAGAACGGTCATCAGCAAATCAAACAAGGTTGTTTTACTGTAGATCTCCTGAACCTCTGCATGATTTTTCACAGCGATAAAGTATTAATGATGAAGCATTGCAAGCTTTTCAAACGGTTTAATTTTCACTTTTCATCCATTTGCATCTTTGGAACATTGCCAATCTTAGGCTTTTATCACAGAAAGAATGAAAATTTGGTTCACATCGATGACGTTACCTAAGATAGAGATGTATCCATTTACTTGGAATTAATCTCACTAGTTCGTTGGCTACATTGTTTGATGCATAAAAATATCCTGTTAAGCAGCACATCCATGTCACTAGTGTACATCTTATAGATGTGTAAGCTTTGCGTTTAAAAAAAAAAAAGAAAGATGTGTAAGCTTATGAAATGCACTCAGATCGCAAAAAAACTGCTCTAATGTCTGCAGCCAGATAACCACCGAGCCACTACCAGAAGAATGGTTTCAGTTACCCTTCCAGTCATGAAAGTACCTGATCAAAAGGGAAGTGAGCCCTTGTCAAAAGAAAAAGGCAAAGTAGGAAGCTTTGTAGAGTCTTCTAGGAGGGAAAGAAGTAGCTTTGTAGTAAAGAATGATGAGGCACATCATGGAAATGAACTTGCGTGTTCAGGAATAAACGTTCACTTGCAAAAGAATTTAAAGTTCAGATAGAGAGTTAAGCTCCATGCATGTACTTAAAAGTGTTTGAAATCCCTAACAAGTGATCAGATAAAAGCAAATTAAGCTTGATTTGAAGAAGGATTTGTGAACAAGGCTCGCTCCACTTCAACGAAATAGGCACAACAACTTCAAGTAAATTTCTGCCATGGTACTTAGGGAAAGCTCAAAGAACATCACAACTACAACTATACATCCGTGGTTATTTCAGGTGATATTCTCTATGTTTAATACTCTGACAGGAACCAAACTTTAGTCCCGGAACCAAATAGTACTCACAGCCCACCACCGGCCTTGCACGTGCAAATGGCTGGTGGCCATGCTGCCCCTGCCTCTGCCTTCCACAGAAGCGAATAACAGAGTATCCAAATATGCGAACAAAGACAAAGGCCAAAACGATGATATGCTCCCAAGCTATCGACACGTGTAAGTTTTGTGAGGCTTTGTCGGCTTCACCAAATCTACGTGTTAACCATTGGTAACGATCCAACAACGCTAGTGTCCAGCGTCCACTAGAAGAATTCTCATTCAGGAGAAGAATGGTTACAATAAGATATCTAGTGAATTGTTAACTACTCTGCTAAGCGTCTACTGGTAGACTGAAACCAGGCGATTAAGATGGCCGAAGCCATAGTAATTTCAGTCCCAGACATTCAAATGGTGCAGCACAACTGCCCAAGTGTGAAGGGCAACTTGGGGCCCTCTTTGCATTTTCACCAGAGAGAAGTGAAATACTACGATCCAACGCAGTTACCATCCCACAGCACACAGAACACAACATTCTCTCATCTAGAGGTGCATAAATATTCCCCCCTAACGTGATTTTTATAATCTCACCAGATGTTATATAGCCGTGTAATGTAAGAATCCAACAGAGTATACCCGGTGGAAATTCAAACCAAATTTGACAGAATCCGAACACTGAAAGACTGAAACCGAGTAGTAAGTAATAACCAACCCTGATGTAGTCCCAGAGGAAGCAGGAGGGCATGATGAGCGGCGGGCGCACGAAGGTGAGGCGGACCAGGCGGCGCACCTCCTCCGGTCGGCGCGGCACGAGCAGCGCGGCGGCCTCCCCGACCCCAGCCACGGGGAAGAGTCCCTCGGCCAGGTCCTTCTCCTCGAGGCAGACCCCCGCGCAGACCAAGGCGACCCGGTCCACGGCCTCCGGGAACATGGCGGCCATCCGGTGTCCGACGAAGCCGCCGTAGCTGACGCCGACGAGGCCGAACCTGGGGACCCCGATGGCGTCCATGGCGGCCTTGATGGCGGAGGCCTGGAAGGCGTCGGAGCGGTCGGGGAGGCGCGTGCAGGAGGCGCCGAAGAAGACGAGGTCGGGCACGATGGGGTCGAACCCGGCGGCGATCAGCGCGCGGAGGTAGGGCGCCCACTGCCACGTGGCGGAGGCGCCGAAGCCGTGCAGGAGGAGCAGCGGGTTCCGCGGTGGCGGGCCCGCGGGCACCCACATGTGGACGGTGGTGGCCGGGTTGGGGTCGGGGTCCGGGTCCGGGCCGGGCCCCGGGAGCGGCACGGCGAGCGGGCGCAGCCCCGCCCTGCGGAAGCGGTGGCTGAAGCAGCGGTCCCGCGCCGCGGCGAAGCTGAGCGCGCTGCACCGGCCCCTGCTGCGGGCGGCCGCCGGCGGAGGGGGAGGCATTGCTTTGCTGCGGCGGCGATCGCGCGGGGAGGGGGAGCGGGAGGGCCCGGCCGGGCGCGGGCGTGGGTGTTAATCCTGCGGGTTCTGTCCTGCTAATCTTGGCGGTGGCGTCGGCCGTGTGTATGGTTATGGGGTTGTTTTCAGATGATGCTCGTCATCGTCGCGTAATAAAATGCTAGGACCAGGAGAGAGTGTCACTCGGTCGCTGCGCGGTGAAGTGGGCAAGTGGCATTGCATTTGCATGTAGTGCTAGCAGTCTAGCACCAAGGGAAAGTGTCGATCAAAGGAAAATAAAAACGTTACTCCCTCCGTTCATTGTTTAGTATCCTTCGATCAATTATAGGTAAAAAGTATCAATATTGATAATATAAAATAAATATTATTAGATTAATTATGAAATTTATTTTTTAAATAAGCTATTTTGGAGCGTTAAATGTGAATAGTATTCCTAGAAATTTGGTTAAACCTAAACATTTTTACTAGCACGTAACCCGTAGTTGCATTCTTTTGTGGACAGAGGGAGTATATCGCTGCGATGTTTGCAACGTCGGCACATTGTGTGGGCCCATACAATACACTGGACAGGGAGAGAGAGGCCTAGGATGGCGTTTGGGTTCGCCATGCCGTCGAGGCCCATACAATACACTGGACATCTCGCGGATTACTGAGGACTTGTGTAATTTGTTTTATTATTACTATCCGAACATTCGCATATGATACTCCATGTGACACCCTGTCGGTGTTTCGAGTTACCACCGACGAGTAAATTTTTAGTATTGCGCGTCGGGCTCGGATGATGTGCTTAGAGGACACGAGGTGTATACTGGTTTGGGCAGAAAGTCCCTACGTCCAGTTTGTCGCTGCTGCTCGTGTTATTAGCACTGAAAGTTTATAGTAGGGGTTACAAACGGACGAGAGAGGGAAATGATCCCAAGTCTCTGGTGGAAGGAGTGAGTGGGTGTCGAGAGCTCGATCGCTGCCCAGCCGTGTGTTCGTGTCGTGCTCTTGTGCGGATCTGGATCGGATCTCGATGGGGCGATGGTTCATCCCCTTCATGGGGCGCCCTGCATTCCCTTTTATAAGCTAAGGGAAAGCGCGGGTTACAGCTGAGGAAAATGAGAAGAACGAGAGAGAGGAAGGCTTTCAGGATCGTCGGGTCCTTCTTCTCCTTCATGCGGGTCCCGTCGATCCTGTAGATGTCAACAGGGACAGCTCCACGTCGCTGCCCTGTCCGTCACTGATGCCATGCGCAGGCGTCGTCTACCGGTCATGGCGTTCCATCCCGTCCCGGCAGACGTCGTGGTGAACTAACGCGCCTGTCATCGTTCGTACGAGGGTTAGGCAGAACAGCACCGGCACGTCCGATGCTGTTCTTGATGTGAACCCTTAGGTATGGCGGGTCATGGCCACGGGTTACATCGAGGCGTGTCAGTCCCTTCCCTGGTGTCAGAGCTTTGACACAGGCCCATACGCTTAGACCTGGAGTGGTTGGCGGCGGTATGAGTCCCCGTCGGACGAGACGGAGCACGAACCCAAGGAATCGAGCGAGTCGAAGCCCGCGGCCTCGGGGTCGGGTGAGGCGAAGCCCGCGCACCTGGGGGTCGGCTGGAGCTGCAGTCGCGCTCTTGACCGCTCGAATGAATCAATGTTGATGACTATTAGCTCATCCTCTTCGGGTACCCTAGTATTGATCTCCGACACCCTCTAAACTTTAGCTCCTGAATTTAAACTAGTATTGATCCCCGACACATTCTAAACTTTAGCTCCTAAATTTGAACACCCCCTAATCTGATCCTTTAGCGCCCTTCTCAAGGTTCGAATCAGGAAGAGGCTGGACCGGTTCCTGGATTCCTCCGGGTGGAAACGAAACCGGTCTGAGTGCGAGCCACGGAAGAGATCCATATCATCCACCAATTCCAACCCCACATGGCACCTGGCCCTGGCAGCTCCCACCCAGCCGACACGCTCACCATGTCACGAGCACGAGCACGAGCACGAGCACGAGCACGACGTGACCGGACTCGCTTGGTTTGGCACATGCCTGGCCGGCCTGCAGGGCGTTCCAGAAACGCCGCCCCGTCCGCTGCTCGGGCGGGCCCCGGCCGGGCATGCATCTCAACCCAACCCCTTCCTCTTCCTCCATGGGCCGCATCACCGTGTGGTGTGCTGGTGCGAGGCACGGACGGATGGTAATTCGTCATCGTGCACCTGCACACTACACTGTCGTGCCCCGTGCAGCCGTGCTGCTCGGCCATTTTCTGGTTGGCCAGCCCATCACGCATTCACGCCACATAAACGCAAAAGAAACTAGCCAACTAGGGCCTGTTTCGCGAGGATTCTCCTGTTCTTCCCCCAGAATCAGTTCTCGTGAAGAATCCCTGTCAAACGACGCCTAGCTTCCAACCTAAACCTATGAACACCACTCACACGAATTCACGAAATGACAAAACAAGTTCATTCGGGATCGACTGATTTCAAAGAAACCCAAGTCGGCAGAACATACAGGGTAGGAGTAACTGGCGGACAAAAGAGCTGTGCAAACTAAGATTCATGTTCATACCTTCAGAAGCTATGATGATGGCCAAGAGAAACCGCACCAGCACGAAAGGAATACCGCAAGAGTGACAAAGGGGATAAAGAATAAAACCTAGATTCATGTTTCCAGCTAACAAATGATTGGCGTTTGCACATTACAAAAACCCGCTAGTTACATTACATACACCAACTTGTGTCGAGGGTCGTTCCCCATTAGAAGATTTTTCATATCAGCAGCGTATTAGCCAGGCGATATAGCTGGCTCATCTGATCACGGTGAACAATGGCTGAGATATGACAAGGCACTATCATGGTATTTTTCTTCTTAAAAAAAAGGAACTTCAAGGGGAAGAGATGCAGGAGGGAGAGGAGGACACACTAGCTAGATACGTACATCCACCACTTGTAAAGACCGAACCCGTAGATCGTCGTCAGCATGGCCACCCTGAGTGGATAGGGCTTGAATCTGTAGAAGCCAAGAAAACAGGGAATGAAGGTCAGTATTTGGATTAATAGCAAAGTACAAACTGGAGATACATCTGAAGCAGAACTAGAAGTTGTTGTTTTAGTTTCACGCATACTGAATGCAACACAGATGTTTTAGTATCACACATACTGAATGCAACACTGAAAGAATGCTGGGAACAGGCAAGGTGAAGAATAGCATTCGACGGTAATCGCCTACATGTCCACCATTAGGGGCGATCCATACTTTATCAGAGCAAAATATTCTTCTTGATGTCATCAAGAAAGCTGGTAGGCCTAGTTTTCTCGATGTGATAAGGTAACACAAAGCATGATGAGAGAGTCAAGTACAGTCCGTGGTGTTGATGCCCATTTATTTTCAATAAACGTGCGGTCACTCGCGATTTGCAGTTGTTTCGAACTGATGGGAACTATGTCCCACAGATGTTTCCAAAATACACCTGTCAAACTCTCATGCCATAATTAGGTGAAAGCTCAACAACCTGGTGATATAAAAGTCCATGTTGGTCTAGCCAAACCATGGCTGAAATTTTCAACGAGTTTCGTTGATTAAATCACAGCTAAGCACCAACCAGCCTCAGAGACTATCATCAGATTTTCGTGAGCTACCAAAGCCTACAACAACTACAGAAATAATGTTAGTACTTCTATAGGTCATGAACCAAAGATATTAGAAAATTAGAACTAGCAAAGCCTCACGCAGACAGGGTCAAGTAAATCTTATTGCTCTGAATATTATAGCTATTGTCAAGACACGAACTACACTCATTGTTAGGCACCAAGTTGAACTTCAGAAACCAAATGGTGCAATCATTTGTAAAACAGCAGGGGCACAGACATGCTTATTGTCCATACACTTGTTTTCAACAACATAAAAGTAGTGAACAAAAATGGCTGCCACATTAGTATTTTACGTTAGGTTTACAAAGGAAGGATTGTTTTATTTGCAGGTTTCACCAGATATTAAAAGGTTAGATCTGGTCTCACTCACTGCACCACACACTGCCCTTCACTTTAGTGCCCACTGACTAAAATGGTAAACCAACAACCTATGTAAACAGCTGGACAATGGTAGTTCATATTGGTAGTGATTTCACCCGATGTTTAAAGATACAAGCAAGCAGAACAACTAAATTGACGCCAGGCTGAAACACGATCAGAACACCCACTCAAAATCTTTATCAGATCATCACTTATCTTGGGTGCTAATAATTATAATGCTGTAAGAGGTGCAGGTCTGAATGTCTGACAAGTAACAAGCATGGGACCAAAAAAAACACTACGTTCAGCTATCAAGAAAACCAGTCTAGAGAATTCAGGAATGTACCCAACTATGCTCTCATTTAGATAAGTTGTTAGTAAATACTAAGTTGTTGCAAGGGCTGAGGATCAACTTGCATCTCTCAATGGTGATTACAGTTACACCTTATGCTGAAACCTGTTATGCTTGGAATTCTATTGCCCAATCAATCAGCAGCACCAAAGTAACAGTCACCTTTCATTTCAAAACTCAGAGTGTGAGCTGGGGGTTTCTTGTAATAAGTGCGGACTAACTGATGCCTCTTCTCTGATGAGGTCTGCAGCCACATTTTTTCCCCATTACCTAAAAAAACATTTTATTTTGAGCTTTATTTAGTTAGGTCGTCTCTAGACAAATCATCGCGAGCTGTTTGGTTGCCGAAATGGTATGGGAAACCGCAAAGGGGACAAGATTGCAGGAGACACCGACGAAACGGTATTTGATTACATCGGGTTTGGAGCTGTATCACTTTTATATAGAACGGTATTGGTTGCCGGAGGGACTCGATTACAGGAGCGCGGAAACAAACATTGAGTAATGGGACCTATTACCTGCCGTAATCAAGTTGCGTTACATCTGTGTGAACCAAACGCTATCCTAGTTTTTTCCAGGTCAAAAGAAGTGACTTGTTCCACCTTTCTATATGTGATAGCGACAATCTGGTAACCAACCAGTAGAAACGTATATACATCCAAAGACACGAAAATAGTCCCGAAGGCGAAATTTCAGCTGCTCATAGTCCAACTACAAACCTAATCCACCACTTAAAACACCAACAGCCCAACTGTTATCAGGTCATGCAAATAATCAATGACTAAAACTTACATCCACATAATTTTGACTCATAAAAGTTTCCTAGACTGGTAGACACAACCATAAACCAACCTCCAGGTGCTGTAGCAAAAAAAAAAGCAATATGCCGCTGAACCTATGCGATCGATAGCAGCATTGAAAGCAGGTGGACCACCAGCCAGCGACCCTATTATTCTACAACTAAACTAGTTATATAGGCCAGCAAGTCCCTATCGCAAATGGCACTGCTACTGGGAGACAATTTTTTTTCTTCTAAATATCATTCAAGCAATTTGATTTGTTTCCGTGATCATATTGTATCTTCAGGGCCCATCAATTGTTATGATAGTAGATCACGAATTAATGCGATGATATTCTGGACCATACAGAGATCGACATGCATTCGATCCTTTGTGTCGAATCCACAGGAACAAATCTGAGTACCTCACCGATCTACTAGATTTTTGTTTAAAACAACATGCATCTTTTATCAGAAAAATCTGAATATATATGAACAAACATGCCTAACTATTGTCTGGCAAGAGTGCATTAGAAGTTTAACTCCCTTCCGGACAAATCAAAACCACGAGTTTTGTCTAAGAAGTTGAATCCTGGAAAGAGGAAGTGACTTGGAGTTTCAATGTCAGGTACTTTTAACGAGAAGAACTTACATCTGAATTCTGAATGAAACCAAAGACGCAATTTGTGGTTTTGTACCTCGACTCGATTTCCAAATAAAGCAAGATCTTATGTACGGAGTGCCCCCCAAAAAAGAACGACCAAAATTTTACTACTTTTGAGAAACCTAAGAGCGAGCAATCTTTGGCACTGCCCGAGCCTCCCAAGAACATAAATTCCACAGACGTACAGACCGTGGCGAAAGATCACAGAACAGGGGAGAGAGAGGGAGGGAGGGAAAGGCTGGGGAGTCTTACTTCCAGACGTCGTGCTCCCGGTCGGCGGCCGCGGCCGCGGCCGTGCGTCGGGAGGCGGGCATGGGGGTGAGCCACTGGGAGTAGTCGCGGTCGAAGAACTCCCAGTCCGGGAGCAGCACGCCGGCGATGGCGAGGATGCCGAAGCCGTACGTGGCCGCCGCCTTGCTTAGCGACGCCGTGGCCAGCCCCGTGAGCACCACGGCCGCCGCCAGCGCCACGAGGCTCCGCCGTAGCAGCTCGTCCCTCCCCATGCCGCCCGCAGCGCCCGGACCCTCGGCCGCCAGCCTCACGCCCTGGACCGTACAGACCTTCTCGAAGCTGTGCCTCCCCCTCCCTCGTCCTTCCCCTGGGCTGCAGGGGAGACGAAACGAGAAGCGCGTGCGCCCTGCGCTGCTGCCGCCGCCGCCGCCTGCCTCGGTTTCCCTTCCCCTCCCCCTGGCTTGGCCTAGGCTCGTTTCGACTGCTGCCGTGGCTTTGCTGCCGCTGCTGGTCTCTCTAGTCTTTGCGACTGCGCGTAGGCTCTGGCGCCGCGAGCCCGCGACATGGACTCGGTCTATTTTTATGGCGTGGGCGGAGGTGGGGTTTGGCAGGCAGACATGTGGGGCCCTCTTCGGTCCAGCCATTGGATCAGCAGGCCACTGTCAGGAGTTAATGAAGTTATTAGCCCACGTGTCAAGCAGCTTAGCCGAGAAAACCAAACGCCGTAACGCACGCCACACGTTCATTCGTTCGGTCACTGACCGTCATGGGCTTTTTCAGGGCGGGTCCGTCGACAACAGCCAACTACCACATGTTCGATCAGCCATTAACGGCTATGATATAGTATTTTTCTCTCACAACAAAATAATATCATCCGACTTATAAGCCACATAAACAATCTAAGCGAACAGAGTATTCAACATTTCCAGCAATTTTGTAGATTGTCCGGAAACACTCGCTTTCACGATGGACCAATTCTATGCCTTGTCAGTCTTCATAAAATGCAAGCAGTCTGTACTTGCCATGACTTGTTTTAGACAAGTCTGAGTCAAAATTTGAGAACTTCAGTCAGAAAAAATAATGTATGAAATGTGAATTGAGCAATAGTTTGGTTGCTTAGGTTCGTTATAATGGAACATGTACTTGGCTTTCGTAGTTGCTCGCAGTTTTCTGTTTTATTCAAGATTAAATTAATGTGTTATATTCTTCCAATGATAAGTAATATGTTCATCGATAGTAAAACATCCCTGGTGTATTTGGAGGTGGGCGTAGGGGTAGGACACGCATGCATGTGTTTGTAGGGGCAGGGGTGGACTTAGGATAAAAATTAACTGGAGGCGCACTAATGACGATCATTAGATTAACTCCACATTTCTTGTTGTGGAGCCTTGTCATTCACTTGTGTGGGGGCAACAATGGTGAAAATACTCCAAAATCAGTGAAAACAATTTTTTGAGTGGCGGCATAAGCCCGCATTCGGCACTACCTAGGTCTGCCCCTTATAGGGGTGCAGTATCTAATGTCACTATTGTTTTGGTGATAAATGACGTGTCCCACAATAATGAGACGTCTACTGTGAATTCATAGGTATCTCAAAATGTGAGCTGTTCATCTAAGCAATGCACTATCACATGCAAATTGTTTATATATCTGATCCCTGATGAGCAGCCAAAAGAAGAACCTGCGCTTCCATCCCCAAATTGCCTGACTTCCAAACCCAAGAGAATAGAGGGGAGGCTTCCACTGATCCTTGCAAGATGGGGTAAGCCTATTTTGAACAGAACTGTGCCGAGCCCCTGCTGTATGTCCAAGAGTCTGACACATTGTGATTCCAATTCTTACCAATGATCATGTCCTGTAATTCGCCGAGTTGTGTTGAAGCCTGAGTTGTAAGTGGTAAGCAGAGAACGTTGTTTATCTCATGATCTATAAAGAACTTCAAAGAGCAATTTTTGTTTCCGGCAAAAGAAAACAGCTGAGGATAACTGTTCTCAAGGATTTGTCCTGATCAATTATCCTTCCAGAATAACACCGAAGTACGTGATTTGGGGTTGCAAGCAGCCAGGCCACTGAATTTTCCAAACAACTTGAGAACATCTTCCACCAAAAGGAGCCAATTGGACTTCTAGCATGAGGGGTGTGCTTGTATTTGAATAGAGTTTTGTCCAAGTAAACTGAACCTAAGGAATATCAGCATTATTGTAAAATTTATCCAAAAAATTTAGAAGCAATGTTGTGTTCTGGTTCTTCATATTGAAAATTCCTAGGCCACCTTCTTCCTTTGATCTACATGCTGGTTCCCGAGCAGCAAGATAAGTGCCTCTTCTGTAATATCACCGTCACTCCATAAGCAATGTTTTAGAGTCTGTCTACCCAACAACTATGTGTTTTATGCAGTTTCAACACATGAATTTTTTTACACCATAGAATTAAGATCCAACAGCCTCCATCCTCCTTCTAACTCTAGCTTTCTTCTACCTCCAGACAATCACAAATCACAAGATCACAGATTCACAGATCATAAGAAACAATTTTTTTCTATGAAAGAACAAATCATAAATCGTAGAGTCTGGAGCTGGACACACGAGGCGTCAGCCATCTCCACACACGAACAGCCGAGCGATCGATCCGAGCGAACAGCCTGGAGCCCACACACGAACACACACGAACACACGAACAGCCTGGAGCCCACACACGATGTAACAAACCGGGTTTTTGGAGAAGCCAAAAATACGAACTTTTTTTAAAAAAAACCTGCAATGTATGAAGCATGTAGATGCTAGGTCAAACAAAAAACAATTTATAAATAAATTGTTGCATACATATAGTGTTGTTTGTAGGAGCTTGCCGGAGTTCCTTATTTGGTTTAGGGTTTTATGTTGGGAGAGCACAAATCCGTAGCAAATCCTTTTGACTCCTTCTGGAATCTCTCATGAATCCCTTGACCTAATTTCTATAATCAACCAACTATCTTCATTAACTCAATGCCCGTGAGTTGCCAACCCTTGGCATTGGACTCCCTAAACCCTAATGACCCTTAGTGGACCCCACTAGGATGTATTCATGCTTGGCAACGCATGTATACACTCATAGAGACCTAAGGTATAGTTAGAATGGAAAAGTAGAAATAGAAAAGACTTAGAAAAGAGGAGAAAATGGAAAAGGAAATTTTGGCCAAGAGCAACCGCGCGGCCCAGCCTGATCAGCCTGCTCATCCCCGTAGCCGGTCCAGCACAGCTCTTTGCGGCTCGCTCTTGCGCAGCAGCCACAGCCTACCCCACTGCCTAGCCTAGCCCCGCGCGTTCGCACCTAGGCCGACCCAGTAGAACAACATCCCGGCCCGCTCGCCCTCACATCCCAACGACGCCAGCGCCAACGTCGTCGTTTTTCCCCGCGACGGCGACAGGAGGGACCCGCTTGTCATCCCCTTCCTCCCTTGGTCCCCCCCCTCTGCTTTTCGCGAAGGCAGAGCAGCCGCGATGCCAGGATGGAATCCCAGGGCTGCCCCGTTCGAACCTAGCCATCCCTACTCCAACCGACTCCGACGCCCCCTTGGATGGCTGCCACATCGCCGATCCGCGGCGCCTGGAACCCCGTCCAGCCTCGCGCTCGCCTGGCGCGCAACGGCCGCGGCCATGGATGACGCCATTACCTGCCACCCCTGTCCCCTCCTTGTCGAGCCACGGTTTGCGAAATTCGGAAGCACCAAAGCGCCCACGATCACGCCGCGGCCCCAGAACCCTAGCCCAGCCTCGCTAGAGGCCCTCCGATCGCCCCTCGATCTCCATCCGCCGTTCACCGAGCTCCATGGATGAGCCCCGCTATAAAACCCCTGGAACCGAGGCCCTAGCCCTCTCCTAGCCTTGCGCCGCCACCCAGTGGCAAACCACTTCACACAGAGCCAGAGAAGGGAGAGGGAGGAGGAAGAAGGAGGCTCCGTCGGAGCACCTCCGAAGCCACCGGAGCAGGAGACGACGCCACGATCGGCTATAGCAGCGCTGCAGTTCTCCCTGCACGGCCACGACTCACCACTGCACTCGCCTCGCCCTGCGCCAGTAGCCTCCTTCGTTCAACACCTACGGTGAGCTCCCGACTCCCCCTTGCTCGCCGTCGTAGAGCCCACCATGAGCTCCATCGCGTTTCCCCAACCTAGGGAAGCACAAGGCCGGCTTCGAGCCCTCAGACACGCGCATACACACGTACACAGCTGACCAAGCCAAGGCAAGGCCTTCCCGAGCGTCGAGCGCACGGGAACACCATGCGCGACTGCCCTGACCGCCATTGCCACTATGGCCAAGACCTTCGCGCACCATCCCGCGTTCCGCCCATCGCAGAAACGTAGAGGTAGCGCAAGCCTATGAGACAGGGTCGCTTCGGTATAGAACGATGGAAGCCCTTGCCCTTTTGACCATAGGAGCCCTGTTCCGCCGGAACCTTGACCTCATCGGCTCGGACGCGCTCCAGAGCTCCACCGTGCCGAGCTCGCCCTCACCACCTCCAGTCGTCTCGCCCGTAGAGAGAACGCCGTAGGGCTTCGCCTCGACTGTAGTACACCACTCCCGCTAGAAGATGGAGGCAGGAAGGACCTAGGATCGCCGCTCGTAACCACTTCGCCGGACCAACGTATGCCCTTGCCGCCGTCATGCCGCGGTAGCCCTGCCCATCTCCGGTCGCTTCGCCTGACGAGGCTTGGCCATCGAGCTCCACCCCGTCCTAGCGGACCTAGCCGCCCAAGATGATGGAGAAGAAGGCGCCGCCTTGACCGAGTTTACCGTGATCAAGACCTGTCGCTCGCCGGCATGACCCTCCATCGGAGCGCCGCTGCAGCGCAACTACCCTCGCCGATTCCAGCCACCTCGCTCCACGGGGAGTGGCCGATGATGCCCTCCGTGACCTCGTTCATCCAGACGCCTAGTCGGCTAAGGCCGTAGTCCCACCTAGCCCCTCGCCGCCGCTAAGGTGACCTCGTCGGAGCTCTGTTACGAGCGCCACAGTGGAACGGACCCGCTGCCATGGACCATGGCGTGCTGCCGTGACGAGTCCGTCACCACGCCCTTTTTAACTGTTTCCTACACCATCGTGATCTCTAACCTTGCTACCGCGTTCGCGACCATAGCTATCGCACGGACTCACGCCCACACACCGTCCCTAGAGACCGGCCTTGCTTCGCCCCCGCCATTTGTGGACACACGCCACGATCCATGGACTTGTGCACGCGCACTTGCATGTGGTGACGCACGGACGTGCCTCCGCACGCCGTCGCGCGAGCCTC